CCAGAAAGCCTAAGCGTTTTCACTCTCCCCACAAGGCTCACTGAACAGGACTCGGGTTCCCGGGCATCTCATCAGCCTTATAAGGAAAGGCTGCTGCAGAAACGACGCTACTGGTGGACCCGGTGGAGCTTCTCGAAACTGTCCTCAAAAATGTTTCCGACCGTGGGAACTGTGGGCAGAACATTCATCCCAGGGACACGGGAGCAGGTGGAGCCTCCGGGTGCAGTCATGTGCTCTCCGTGGCCTCCAGGCCGTCGCCAGCCCAGCAGGCTTGCTTCTCCTGTGTCCCGCTGTCCTCCCACGTGACCCGGTGTCACCAGCAGAGCCCTAGGCACGCCCTCTCACCAGATCCCTGCAAACTCTCCCAGGGGGCCTGGCCCCTCGTCCTGCCTCCTCCAGCCTGTTCTCCCAGCGGCAAGCAGAGGACCTGTTCCACGTGGCCGCTGCATTGTGTCGCTCCCCTGATTAAAACCCAACAACGTTCACCTACTGCAGCTAAAAGAAAATCAACAGATCTGGCTGCTGGCAACTTTTTCCAAGCTTGGCTCACGCCCCTCACTCCTTGCTCCCTGGCCAGCAGGCCTCCTCTGACTCCCCCACCCCGCCTGCCATGCTCTCGCCTTCCTTCAAAATGCTCCCTTGTTCCTCTGCCTGCAGCCTCTTACCCCTGAAGGCCCCGTGTCTGCTCCTTTGCCTCCTCGAGGAGGCCTTTCTGCTCACCCAAACAGCGGCCTCACTTGGCTGGCTGTTCACTGCCCATCAGCCCACCCAACTCTAAGCTCCATGGGATCAGGGACCCTGTCCGAGCTGCCCACCCACCTAACCCAGTGCCTGGCAGATCACTGACTACCTGAGGGAGGAAGGGAGGAAAAGAGGGAGGAAGGGAAGGGGCGAGGAGAGACACAGCGCTTATGGGAGTACAATCAGTAATTGTGAATACCATCATAATAACAGCTGTAGGCCAATGACCAATACAGGCCCTTTCTGAGCCAGATGCTATTCTAAGCACCTTAATGTGTTAATACATTTAATCCCCCAATAATCCTGTCATGCACCTGGTATTACTCTCTCCGTGTCTGTATATGCGGACACTGAGGCATGGGTTAAGTAACCTATCTGGTGTCATTCAGGAAGCAGGCGACACAGCTCGAGCTTGAACCTGGGCGTCAGTACAAAGCTTATGCTCCCAGCCTCCTCTGAGAAGACCCTAAATGTCCATCAGATAGGGAGAGAGGGAGACAACTTCTGGCATAGTCACCACAAGAATACAGTGCAGCCATTTAAAGAAAGATTGGGCTGTTCTGCCAACATGGACAGATGTCCTTGATGGTATAGTGGGTGATAAAAGCAAATGGAGAACACATTACAATCCCATTTTGTGGTTAAAAAACAAAAAAAGAAGTCAAATATAGCAACAATCAGATGTGATCGTTCATACACAGAAATATGCCTGGAAGCTACAAGCAAAGCACTGACACAGGCCACTGCTGGCAGGGCTTCCCCGGGTCTCTTGCTCTGGACACTGGGCACTGGGCACACAGAACTCTTCCCGGTCACCTCTGAGACTGCCCTCTCTAAAGCCACACTGCCAGTTACTCTCCAGTCCGGCTTCACTTCCACGTGACACTCACCGCTACCCCGCATCGCAGGGTTTACAGTACTTATTTGTTTAATGCCTGTCTTTGTAAAGGTAAAGACAGGTTGAAAAAGAAAAAAATGAATTTTCCCTGGTGCAAAAAGGGAAAAGACACCCCCTTTCCTTTTCTTACTGCATTTCCTTTAGAAAACTTGTAAACCTTTTTAAAGGTGAAATAATCCTCTTGTTAGTTTTTATGACAAAGAACTGTGTTTCTCAAGAGTCTGAGAGTCACCTCTTTGAAATGTAAACATGAAGAAACATTATACCCCTATCCCTTGTCTAGGAAAAGCCTTCACTAGGGGACTAGCTCCCTGTTATAATCACATGCCTGCTGTAGAGATATGAGACGCTTATTACTCCTTTGGATAAAGACAATTACAAAACACCGATGGCCTCCCCAATTACCAGTGGATTAAGGATGAACTACGTGTGACAAATGGTGCCTTGAAGTCTTCTGACTTGAGAACTAGTTATTGTTTATCTTGAGAACATGAGTGTAGCAGACTGCCATCTGCTCAGGTGTAGTAAAGGGTGAGATTTCATTGTCTTTGCAGTCTCTTTAGTGGGTTGCCTGTGATATGCATTGCATTCTGCTTAATGTTTACTCAATAAAACTGTTTTCTTTCTCTTCTCCTTTTCTGGAAAGGTTTTATAGGTTGGCAGGAGATTTTGTTTATATTTCCCCAAAATCTCTTGCCAGTAGCACATAAGCTCCATGGGGACTTTGTTTTCCTAGTCACCGCTGTGGGCCTGACACTGAGTAGGTGCTCCAAATGTGTTTATTGAATGAATAAATGACCTTACTGGTTGTGTCCTTTGAATTTTATTTTTTGCAATGAGCAAGTATTACTTATTATAGTTTAAAAAACCAATTGAGCTAAAAACTCCACAATTGCCAACAGAACAGGCAGGCACTGGTTTGCTTTATGGATATTGATTTTATTTCCTGTGAATACCCATGTTTCTCAGACATGAATGGCTGCCTTTAAATCATTATTAGTAACTACATGAGACAGTATCAGTAGCAACCATTTCAGACATCGTACAAAAAAAATTTCAGACATCATAGTCCCAGCTAATCCAGATCCTTCCGAAGTACTGATAAGCAATCTGTTTCTGTCTCAAAGGCAGTCGAGGAGAGATTCTCAGAATGCCCTATCAGCACCTCCATCCTCCAACAAGATCCCGCTTTTCTCAGTGGACGCAGTAAAGCCCACACCACTCACCCTCTTCTCAGAATGAATGAATGAAGTTGTGTTCACTGTGACTAGCTTTCTGGGGGCTACTGTATTTACCAAGCCAATGACAATTACCCTAGATTCATGATTCCTCTTAATCTTCGACCCCATGAGGTGGGTACTATTATTATTCCCATTTTACAGATAAGAAAACTGAGGTTCAGAGATGTTCAATGACTTTCCCAGTCACATGGTTAGTGCACAGTAAAGTGGGGACACAGCCCCAGGCAATCTGACCCCAAAACCCCAGCTCTTGGCCCCAAGCCATAAAATGCCATTAGTCCCAAAGCACTGAGCCAATCTTCCACCTTATTTATGGAAACAAGAAGAAAAAAAAACAATCAGGCAGGAACCTGGGCCAAAAGAAATCAGAATTCCTCTTTATAACTCACATTTTCTGAGCTCCCACCATATGAGAGGCGCTAGGTTAAACACTCTAAAGATATCATCCAATTTAAGCCTCACACCGAAGTCGGGTGTTTACTATTACTGTCCCCATTTCAGAGATGAGGACTGAGTGTGAAGTGCAGAGAGGCGAAGTGACTGCCAAGGTGCCACAATTAGAACGTGGCCAACTCAGAATCAAATCCAGGTCTGTCTGTCTCCATGGCCCATGTTCTCAGCCATGATTCTTTCCCAAAGCAATGGAGAAAGCAGAGCTAATGATCCAAAATCAGTCCAAGTTCAAACAGGACAAAGCTCCCACAGGGTGGGTCAGGAGGGGAAAGGGGTCACTCTGAAGTGAGTGGCAGCAACCACTGGTGACATTCTCTGCACCGGCCTAAAGGGGGGTGGGGGTCCCATGTCCTGGGAATGGAGGATCTCGAGGGTCCTTTGGTTGGTTTGTTGTCTCCAAGACCAGGGCCCTGACCTGTATTTCTTCTGTCTCCCTACGTGCCCCCCACAGCACCAAGCATGACACTGATGCTGGCTGAATAGACGCCATGCAAATTAGCTAATGCACGCGTTTCCTTTCACAAGAGACTAGAGCTCGGGCCTTCGTGGTTTCCAGTGCAGCAGCGGTCCGCAGCGGTGTGCATTATGCACACAAGGCCAATTTTGCGGAGATGCGGGGAGGTGGGGAATGAAGCCTTTGGGGCACTGCCCCTGCACCTCGTGAACGTGAGATTGCTTTCCTTCTTTCAGGGAGCCACAGAGGCACGTGCTATTACTCCTATATTACAGAAAAAGAGAGCTGAGGCTCAGGGAGGTTACACAGCTCATTGTCGTGAGTGCCAGAACTCAACTCGGACCTGATGGCCTCCAAAGACGCTGCCTGGCAGAGCAAGAAGAATCAGCAGGCGCTGCGTGATGGAAGCAAACTATAGCTGCAGTGGGTACCCAGTAAGCACATGTTGAATGAGCCAGTAAATGAATGGGTGAGACAGTTTCAAGGAAAGGGTTACCAACAGGATCTGTTGCTGCAAGATGCCACCAATGATGCGAACTGGAAAAAAGTCTGTTGGATTTGGCAATTAAGTTCAAGTTATAATAGCAAAATAGGGGGGGGGAAGTCACCTACATATCCAGCTCGGGCTGCCATAACACAATGTTATAGATTGTGTGGCTTAAACAACAGAAATGTATTTTTCTCACAGTTCTGGAGGCTGGAATTTGGGGTCAGAGTGCCAGCGTAGCATTGTCCCATACACCAGAAGGTGGTGGTTCGACTCCCAGTCAGGGCACATACCTAGGCTGCAGGTTCAATCCCCAGTCGGGAGTGTGTGGGAGGCAACAGATCGATGTTTGGTGTTTTGCTCTCTCTCTCTCCCTTCCTCTCTCTGACATCAATTTAAAACATAATAAATAAATCAATGAATAAATAAATAAGGTTTCACAAGTATGGTTTTAACAGGAAAGACATTAGTGATGTAAGAAGTGAAAAACTCATGTTATAACACGTCTATACAGCATGACCCCATTTTTATCAATACCAGGGACATGGGGTACATTGGCAAGATCTCAGTCCTGGCAGAAAGGCTAAAATTCCCCAGGCTCCTTTGCAGCTAGGTTTCTGGAGATGAATTCGTCTCTGCCCATTGGTTGCTCTTGCACAGTATTTTGAAGGCAGAAGTGGGGCAGAGGCACCTTCCCTCGGTTTGGGCCGTGTGAGGCTGGTAATCATGTCTGAAGAGACGTGGCGGTTTCCTGCAGCCGAATCCAGGCGTCCAGGAGTCCAGGCGTCCGGCCGCCAGTCCACAGCTGTGGGCACGCAGTGTGGCAGGGGCAGTGCCCTGTTTTGTGGGAGCTGGAAGGTACTTGCAGGGGCAGCCGTTTCCTGAGCCCCAGATCCCGCTGTGCCCGGGTATTCTGGGGCTCATTCGCTCCACTGGGGACCCCTGTGCCCACCCTCCCAGCTGTGGCTGGGCGGAAGCTCCTCCGGCGGCCAGGGGGCTTCCCTGCGGGCTCGGCCTAATGTCCACGCCCCCGGCTTCTCCAATCGTTTTCCAAGCACCAGCTGCCTGCGCTACATTCTTTCCTGCTTAAAAGAGCAAAGATCTAGAAACATTTCGGATCCTCTGGTTTCAACCAAAACAGTGCCCCGCAGGGCCGGGTGGGGTGGCTGCGGCGCTGCCTGCTGCGCGCCGGCTCCTCTTCTGCGGAGCCGGGACCGAAGCCAGGCGTCTGCTGACGGTTACCGAGCGCGGCGGCAGCCTGTCTCCCCAAGACCAGCACAATTCTCGCTCCCCGCGTGATCGTGACACTTCCCGGCAAGTCCCTGGCTCTTGGAGCTGGACTGGCCTCCGACGCGGGGAACGCGCCCAGCGCGGCCGAGTCCCGGCTGCGCCGAGGCCAAGGCACCTCCCCAAA